AAGAAGAAGAAGAAGAAGAAGAAGAAGAAGAAGAAGAAGAAGAAGAAGAAGAAGAAGAAGAAGAAGAAGAAGAAGAAGAAGAAGAAGAAGAAGAAGAAAATGAAAGAGCAACATTAAACAAAACAATCAGGAATTTTTTTCTTCTTTGGGATGGAAAGAATTGGTAGGCACAAGAACTCAGAAAGAAGGGGTCTGGGGAGATAGCTCAGTGGAATAAGTGCTTGCCTGGAAAGTTCAAGGTCCTGAGCTCATGCAGAAAGGAAAAATAAGCACCCAGACACTGGGCAGTTGTGTGATTGCCAAGGGACAAGAGGGTGGAGAGATGGACTGCAAAGGAAAGAGGAAATCACGAGGGAAGCCAAAGAAAAGTTCTGCGGGAATTTCTTGGTTCCACTGGTGTTTATCTTAAGAACAGTGGGAAGTCACAGGGGTTTTAACCAGGTAGATAATATGATAACACCTGTGATATTGTTTTCTACATTACTGAATATTTCAAATTGTTAGTAATTGAGTAAAACCTTTCATTTCTCTTTTTAAAAATTATCAAATACTGCTAATTGTCATTTCATGATTAGGCACTGTTTAAGGGTACACTGTGCTTTTTTGTTTGCTACTTGTTTCTTGGCAGCCCCGAAACTTGAATCCAGGGCCTTTCTAGTGAACAACATCCCCGAGCTTTTTAAAATTGTTTATTCTGAGATGAGGTTCAGGTTGCACAGACTAGGCTTGGATTTATGATCCTTCTGCATCAACCTGTCAGAATGTTGAGATTACAGGCACATGCCTGCATTCTGCCAAGCTCAGTGTGATGTTTTGGAATATGTGAAATGTTTTTATGTTTTTTTTTAGAAAAGTATTTATTTATTTACTTACTTGCTTACTTATTTACTTGGTATAGGGTCTTGCTACATAGCTTGGACTTTTAGTGATCCTCCTGTATCAGCCTCGCCAACTCTGGGATTACAGGTGTGCACCATTACGCCCAGTTCCGGGACCAGCACAGCATGCAGTGCCAGGGAATTGAACCCAGGTCCTTGCACTTGCCAGGCAAGCACTTAGACTGCCAAGCTATCTTCCCAGTCAGAATATGTGAAATGTTTAAATCAAAGTAATTAAATAAAACTTTAAAGAAGTAACTCATCCTAACTGAGCCAGCAGGAGAGTAGGTGAGTGGGGGGAAGGTTGTAAGACCTGCAGGAGGTTGTGTTGTCCAGGAAGATGGGATCACGAAGGTGGAAGAACCAAGAAGATGCTGTTAGCGACAGTTGGGAGGTGCAGGAGGTATTAGGGAAGTGATGGATGGCCAGTAGAAGGGACGGGAAGTGGAAAGAAGAGAGAGGTGGTTTCTAGAACTGGCCCTGGCTGGACTAACACTGAGCACAGTGTGTACTCCTCCAAGGAAGGAAGGTGGGCAGAGATGCTGAAGAGTTTCCTTGGAAATTCTAAAATAAGCAGGCCCACACTGGTTCTAAGTCGTGCTTATGACTTTGAGGACAGGAGTAGGAGATCTGGGACGGTCATGCAAGCATACGTACTTTAAGTTCTTCCATCCTTTCCTGGATGGTGGAGAGATCAGATGAGTGGGCAGGGTCTTGGCCTTGGAGCACCTCCTCAGCTTCCATAATCCAGGCCTCCAGAGCTTCCAGGCTCTTGGCAAAGGTTTCATAGTCAACAACACCAGCCTTTAACCACAAAACACCGTCACTGTTTTAGTGAAATCAGTTGGTATATTAATGCAACCTAATGAAATGGCAAATATATGTTGAAACTACTTTCCACATTCTTATATCAAATTGCCATTCCAGAGAGAAGCTGTTTTAAAATAATAAGCCCCATGATATAAAATTTCACTTCATTTATGTAAGTTTTCTAAAAAGTAGACTTATTTTTATATACCATTTGTCAACAATGAACGTGATTATTTAAATACATCATGAATTACATCTTAAATAATTCAGATTTTTGCAAAACCCAAGTAAATATTAATGTTAATGGCACTTAGTGTTAGTTAGTTGGACATACCAAGGAAGCAGGCATGGTTCGGGGGTTTATCTCTCAGAAAGATCTTAAAATTATACTACAGAGAACAGTGAAAAGCCCTTGTTATCTTCACTTGTTTCCATTGGACCTTCCAAGTTTGCCTTGGTCTTGGTGGAGCCATTGCTCCACTAAAGAAAATTGCATTTCCTATGTTTATGCCCAGACACTGCATGAAACACCCAGCTTGAAACACACACTGAACATGAACTCTGTACCTGTAATGCAGTCTGCTGTTTGCAAAGCGCTTGCTCCAGGGTACACAAGTGCTGGCTCAGGGAGAGCTGATCAGACTGAATGGCCTCGGCTGCTGAGGCATCCACTTGCTGCTTGAGTTGTTCTCCCAGCTCATGGAGAATGAAAAGGGAATCTTTGATGGTCCCAAGTCCTTTGAGGAGGTCCTGGAAGAAATGGACACAAACAGCCATGCACCTTGAAGTGATCAATGCAGTGTGCTGTTCAGTACAATCTGCAACAAGCAAAGGGCAGTTCACCTAGGCACAGTGACTCCCATTTGTTTTATTGCTATGCTAAACACCTTCTACTTGCATGAGAGTGATCAAAAATTGAATGCAATTTTTAAAAATAGTCCCTACATATATCAACATTTTATATGTACATCATACATCCACAAAATGCACACTTATTGCATATAGATAGTACATATAACCACACATGCAAATACTGTGTGTACTCTTCTGATAATAAAACCAGCATAGCTTGCTCATGGGGGAAATGGTAGAGAGGAGAGGGCCTATACTTTCAGAACGACTACCAGAGAGACAAGGGATTCCTTCAATCTTGACATTGGCAGGAAACAAAGAGTCTTTCGAATGAAAATGGCAGCTATTGTAAGGACAAACTATGTACATACACATACACAGAGGGAGAGGGAGAAGGAAAGGGAGAAAGAGAAAGAGAGAGACAGACAGACAGACAGAGAGAGAGAGAGACATGCACACACATGCAAAGCAAAACTCAAATCTTATTTTGTATTGTAAATGTTCCTCTTTCGTGTTAGATTTATTACTCAGATTGAAGATATTAGGAGACATTAAACTTTTACTTACATAGATCTTATAACTTGCCTAATCCTAATAAATGGAGTTGAGAAAGTTTATAAGATGATTTTTGTAACAAGTTCATTGAAATAAAGACAAATAAGGATAAACAGTAAGAGCCATGTAATGCATGAAATAAGAGCAGAGCCTTTTTTGAAAACCTTAAGTAGCTTACTGGCAGCTACAGTGAAAAAGAGAATTACTTAAAAGCTATTAAAAAGAAGTATAGCAATAAATCAAGACAAGAAAGACTTCTTTATACCACCAAATTCCTAGACAAAGCTATTGTAGATGTTTACATAGGAGATAACAAATCTAAGTGGATGAAAACTTTAACAGTAAAGGTATAATTTGATACCTCATGAGATCATTTCTTCTATAGCCATCTCGGTAAAAACGGATAACCTAAGTCTGTCTCCTGGATTATATTCCATTAGTAAAAGTGAGAAAAATGAAATAATGGGAGGGGAACCCATACATCTTCAGCATGTCCAACTGGGTTCTGCAATCCTAGAAGATTTCTTAACATAAGACAATAACTTTTGGATAACTGTCACAGGGTGAGACATATCCACGCGCATACACATTAGCATGAGCCCTGCTAAGCTCGTGAAGTCTGGGCATGGCACGCTGGGGAAACAGGGTAGTCCCTGCACGTACATTGCAATCTTGAATCCACGTAGCGACCTCACTGTCGGCGATGTCCTTGTCAGCAGCTACCTTCAGCAGCTCGCTGGTGCGTTCCTCCTGCTGCTGAATGGTGGCAGCACACTGACCGGAGTAATCCTTGTATCGCTGCCAAAGCTGAAGGAGGGCCTTGCTCCAGTGCAGCTGCTCGGCAATCTCTTCCAGCAAGTTATTCCATCTGAGGAGAAGCGCCAACATGCGTGGGCAGACCGTCAGCCCTCACCAAACACTGTTATTCTCTATTTTCTTTGTCATGATCCAGGTTCATGTGAACATGGAAACAACGCAGGGATGATTCCTTTCTATTTAACATGATTCAAAGTAACATGTCACTCACTGTTCTATGTCAAAGGTGAGTGATCTTTTGGAATATACCAGTTTTAATTATTTCCAAACATCTCCACTCTGTATTTGCTATCATACTCATTTTATGAAAATGAAAATATTTTTAAAGTAGAATGTGAAGAGCGTAAATTTGAAATGTCAGCAATAATGTTGGGATATAGATCATGTGTAAAGTGAGTCTACTCCATACCTCATATTGACGTCTTTCAATGTATTGGTGAGGGTTTCCGTCACAGGTGGGTGACACTCTTTTAGTAGTTGGTTGGTGACAGCGCCAAATTTCTCTAAGCTCCTTTCTTGTTTTTCTAAATCATCATGAAGATTCTGCCCAAAGGAAAAAAAAAAAAAAAGTCTCACAGATGACATGACAGCATCTAAATCCCGATAAGCACATTTCAAAGAACTGACCATGTTATACACATGCATGACTTAGCTCTACTGCTACATGAGCTTTATTTAGTCATGTTTCCCTTTTAAATAATTTTGTGGCTCTGATAAGAGAGGCTCTGGATTTAAATGTCTTTGTACTGGCATCTCCAATTTTCCTGCAAGTGACCACAGCGTGCATCCTTCTCCAGTATCCGGTAGGCAATGTGGTCATGGCACGAGCACCACCTGGCACTGCGGTTGCTACTGATACTCTCACAGCAGAACACCAGGACACCATGGACACTGGTGCAGTGGCTCCCCCAAAGCCTCCTGGTAACTGAGATTGTAAGTCGTAGTCTTCCTGAGTACCATCTCTATGTTCTGTCTTTGAGTGTTCTTGGCAAAAAAATTCTTTTAATTCCCTGCATTTTTAATTGACAAAAATAACTGCATGTTCAAGGAGTACAGATTATCTTTGGATACATATCTACATTATAGGGTGATTAAGTTAAGCTGATTAACATATACATCACTTTGTGTACTTTTTAGTATTGTCCAAAAACATGGAAATCACAGAAAATGGGAATGGAATGGGAGAAACCTAGAATCTGGGAGAGGGAAGAAGAAAAGCTCGCGGTCTCAGCTGGATCGGAGGAGCCACCTGTGGTGAGCTATGGCACAGAATGTGACTATAATTAATGATAATGCACTGTGTATTTCAAAATTGCTCGAAGCAAAGTGTCTGTCTAAGGAAGGTTTGGTGGAATTTTCCACCAAAGACCAGGAAGGAACAAGGAGATGTTTTCCTGGAAATGCTGCCCAAATGGCAGGCTTGAGTTCTTAGTAGAACACCCCAGGCAAACTGGGCTCCAGACTCTAGTGCCATTTAACATCAATATCTGATTGCCCTTAAATCAAAATATTCAAAGGAAGTGCCCTTCATCTTTCACCTCTTTAGACAACTTAACATATAGAATGTGTTAAATTATAAAAGGCTTCTAATATCCTCAAAGTTACAAAGTTTGTTTTTATACATATTGTGCTCAAAATTCAAAGGGTTTGAATGCTGCTCGGTCTCTGCAACAACTGTTCAAATCCTCCCTACCTCACCCCCGAAGAGACTATTCCTTCAGAACGAATAGGCAGGAGGTTGGCAACACATCAGTTCAGAGAGCCAAGTCAGGGAGCTAGGCTGCCAGGACCAGAGGTGCATGCTGGGCCCACGGGGGCAACCTGTCCCTCAAGGGCAGGCCCTGCCCAGCCCAGGGCTTGTGTCATCAGTCAAGAGGAAGGGGCAGTGGCGAGTGACTGTGGCCCAGCACACAGGTGTGCGGGGGAAGTGAGGGCAGCGGAGATTTGCAGACAGTGCCTGAGATAAGAGCTTGTGCCACGGCTTGGAGAACGAGCAGCAGTGAATTCTAGACCCGGGGAGCAAAGAAGCACAAGACAGCAAGCAGTGAGTGGCGGGAAGGAGGGACGTGGACACGCTGGACAGCCTGCGGCTGTGGCACTGAAGAAAGTCACAACTTAACACTGCACACATTTACCACTTTGGCTATTTTTCTCTTTGTTTTCTTTTAAATCCCTTAGAAAGTGTTTGGAAAGGCAGGATAAAAAGAGAAAGGGGAGACATAAAAGGTAGTGATAACGGATGAAGGAAGTTGGTTTGGCATAAAATCATTTTATTCAGTATTGCTGATGCTGGTGGTTATTATCTAAGAGGAAGTTTAAAATTTAATTTGCTAATATAGTCACTCATCCAGAACTTGGTACCCACAGGTATATCTGATTAAGTCACAATAAAGCAGGTACAATTGAAAGATTTTTTTAAAACATTAAATGTCAACAGCATACTGGGAAGCTTTACTAATGAGTAGATCCTCTCAATTAAAAATAATGTTAAAGATGCTTTAAATTCATGCCTTACCTGAAGATTGTCTACCTGAACCTGCACAGCTTCTAAGGAGCCAGTCAGCAGCCGGAATCGGGACAAGGCATATCGGGCCTCCATGAGGTAAGTATTCATCTCGTCAAAGGCCACTTTGTGACAACCCCACTGATCAAGCACCGACTTCAACAGTATCTTCAGCTGCCCAGCCTTTTGGAAAAGAGGAACACTTGTAATTATGTAATGCTTAAAGTGATACAATCTATACCCCCTTGATTGAAGATATTAACATCTAAAAACATCAGGGTTTCAGGCATTATTAAAAAACTGGAAAGATGTGTGAAAGGTAAATTGAGCGACTTTGAAATCTATGCCTTTCAAACTATTGAACACTCAGCCTAAATATCAATGTTAAAAGATGATTAATAAACACATGGATTTTAAAGTGGGAGGAAGTAATTGCATTACATAAAGCTATTTAAGAAATATATTTAGTATTTTTAATGCATTAAATCATCGAATCTTGGGGGTAACTACCCACTCGGCCCCCCCTCCTGTTCCTCTCTCAGGACAGGAGCTTTCTTTCTCTCAATAAGTATATTCTGCTCATAAAAATAAATAAATAAATAAATAATCGAATCTTTTTTTTTTTATTGGTGAAACCAGAGATTGAACTCAGATCCTTGCGTTTGCCAGTGAAGTGCTTATCGTACTGAGCCATCTCCCCAGCCCCAACAGAGTGGGAACTCAAACCTGTGAAGTCGCACTATAGAGCCTAATGTGTAAACCGCTACGCTATCTCTCCAGCCAAATCATCGAATCTTGATAATAATCTTATTATATGGGAATAATCATTATCTTTATCTTATAGATGAGAAAACTGAGGTGCTCAGAGGTATTGAAAATTACCTAATATCATATAGTTAGAAAAGAACAATGTTTAAATTAGGGACATCAGGGGTCAGGGAGATAGTTTAGTAGAATAAGAGCTTGCCTGGCAAGCACAAGGGCCTGAGTTAATCCCCAGTTCTGTCAAAAAATAAAAATTAAAAAAAAAAATTAAGGTTATCATTTCCCAAGAAATGATATCTGTACACACACACACACACACACACACACACACACACACACTCACACACCCTCAAATGAGTATCTCAAGGCAAAACATATAAAATGATTTTCTATATGTATTTGTTTTGGCCTGTATCAATTAATAAGATGGCTCCTTGGGACTTCCTGGATGTGAACACTAATCTAAATCTAAGGCTCTAAGCACACAGAGTAGGTAGGGCCATGATCAAGGAAAGAGATCATTTAAATTAATTCGCCTTTGCTTTCTCTGCTTTTCTTTTCTGCATACAGGGAAACTGCCACAACCCATCCAAGTACTATCTGATGGGCCAAAGGTGCTGCGCCAGCTATGAGGCAATGCCCATGGGTGCAGCCAGGTGCCAGCCCTATCTGAGGAAGCTCCAAAGCAGGCAGGAGGGCAAGTACAAAAGATCAAGAGGAACTTTCTCGGTTTCCACTTTACACTAGTTTGTTTTTTCCATGAGGCAACATTTCCATGAAAGAACTATGAGATACTTCCATGGCCAATTATTTTCAGACATTTGCACTGAATTACAAAAATGTATATAGTAAAACAGATTTAAAGTCAGGTTCAAGATAAGGTAGACACAGTAGAAAGCTGAGTCTGGAGATGGGCACAAGGAAACGTCTACCATCTCCTGTTTCTACGTAGTGTTCAGGAGAAAGAACACGGGTGGAGAAAGATGTTGAGAATTGTCCAGGCCTAGATAGTGTCAACAGCTACGGGAGTGAGTGAGTAAACTCAGGAGAAGCATGAGAAGACACTTCTTTTTTAAAAAAGGTAAATGAAATGGGTTTTAGGGCACAAAGAGGTGATAGACAGATTTGGCAACTGATTACAAAGTCAAGCTAACACTCGCAGAGTGGACAAGAGCTAGCCGAGGCTCTGCGCGCTGCGTTACCATGTGCTCCAGGCTGGCCCAGGCCTGGCTGAGCTCCTGCAGTGTGCTCATGACCGTGCCACACACTTCTTCTTTCTTGTTCTGAATCAGAGCAAGCCCGTTCTGCTCAATTTTCTCTACTTCTTTTTCTTTCGCTTTAATCAAATCTTCAAGATCCTGAAAGATTTTAAAAAATAATAATTTAAAATTGTTCTATTACGGAACCTTAAAATCGAGCTATGATAGTTTTGGGGACTAAAAACCTGTTGCAAACCAAAATAATCTCCATTCTCAAAAAGGGTCTCCACATAATAGTATGTTTTCCTATATTTGAATGTAAAAAAAAATAAGGCTTTTACTAATCAGTTGGGGAATTGCTGTACCTTTAAAAATGTTGAATCTGATTACTTACCAGAAAAAAAATACCATCATATAATTTTTTTTTCTAAAAAGTTACAAGGAAATATGTCAGAATTGGTAAAATTATTATTATTATTATTATTATTATTATTTTGGCAGAACCGAGATTGAACTCAGGCCTTTGTGCTTGCCAGCGAAGCACTTATTCCACTGAGCCATCTCCCCAGCCTGGTAAAATTATTTAAAAAGTCATATTGCCATTTGGTATTTCAAAAGTTACACAGCCTATCTGCTTGGAAGACGTCCAGCAGCGCAGTGTTTGAGGTCCAGAAATGTTTGATCCTATTGTGTTGTTCTGGTAAGTGAAAAATGTTGACTCGGACTCAGTTTCTTCAGCTGGCAAAGCAGAAGTTTGAGAAAGCATTTCCATTATCTTGCCTTTCTTTTGAAATACTATGATCACACATGATTTTGAAAGTTTAGAAGCTTTTTCTGGACTCAAATCTTCATTTTCTCCAGGAGGTTCATTTATAACTATCAGATAAAATGTTCAAGAAAGAAAAATACAATGAGAAAAAGGTCCCCCATACAACAGTCACAATCCAACATATATATTTAATGCCATCTTAAAATACGAAGTTCCGGGGGCCGGGGAGATGGCTCAAAAGAATAAGTGCTTGCCTGACAAGTGCAAGGGCCTGAATTCAATCCCCAGTTCCACAAAAACAAATAAGCAAACAAAAAGAAGTTCCATAAAGCTGGCTCAGACAAACATTAACATTTAATAGATAAATACACTGGAAGATCAGGTCATCCAAACTGGCTGAGGTCACAGACCTGGTGAGGCCCAGGGGGGCAGCCAACCTAAGCTCTTTGAACCTCCTGACTCCTAGGCCCAGTGCGGGAGGTGAGCTGCTGGACCTAAGCTAGGAGAAGCATGAATCCCATGCCTAGTGCTGACGGAGCCAGGCAGTGAGCTACGGTTATGCTCCTAGATTCAGAGGCACACTTCTGGAGGGAAAAGTGCACTTGCAGGTCCTGGAGGTTAGAGGAGAGGAAAATCTCAAAATACTTTTCTGTTCAGATGAAGTCTCAGCTACATAAAAATGACTTGCAGCCCTTCTCGTGTTCCATATATGCGGGTAATAATATTGGTAGCTGGTGATACGGTTGGTGTGAACGCTGAGTCCTGTATCTACTAGGCTAATCACAAGCTGTGTGCCTCCTCGTGCCCTTCATCACCTCTTCTGTTTACGCGTCCGTTGTGCTCACTCCCTCATTTAGAAAATAAGGACAATAAGCTATTTTCTGCTTACCAAGAGATACAAAATTAAGTCAGTGTATATTCAATTGTCTTTTGATCTGTCAAAAACTAACCAAATATAAGACATGATATGAAGCCACTTGTTTGCCATACTTATATTTCACTTAGCAGTTTGCCATATTTATATTTCACTATAAATAATAAAGAATGTATCTTTTTTTCTTCAACAACTACTAAGCTATTTTTGTCTTGATGCAGTTAATCAGAAATTCAGGCACTTAGTAGCTTAAATAGATCACTTTTGTTTTCGTTATTATTATTCTTTCATTTCTAGTTTATAATTCGGTCAATATTATGACTGCATTGATAAATACTAGAGACAGAATCTAGTTATTACTGGGATTGCAGGTCCTTTATGTAGTGAAGAAAATATAATTAATTTAATTTTTGCAAGCTTTCTCTTTATTACTATAAAAAGCCATACAACATAACTGTGATTTATATTTGACAAATAATATATTAGGTACTTATTGAGATTTTGATACATAGATGTAAATAATCCTGTCAGTATGATACTAAAATTTACCTCTTATAAATTAATTTTATACTCATTTATCCATAAGCATTGACTATTTTCAGTGACAAATATTAAAGATGTGATACTCTGGTTAGAAACACATCTCAGTAAAAATGCCCTATAGTGTATGTGGGCATAAGAGCAAAATCCAAGAAGGAAACCTTTCCCTTCAATAATAATGAAAAGATTATTCCACTTCTGATCAATGAAGGGAAAGGCCAGAACTAATGTTTTTGTTACAATAAATCATTCTCAACTTGGTTTAACTCATAAATATCACTTTTTATGTTGCTTTAAATTAATAAATCATCTCTAAAAGACCGGACAAATATTCAGGAATTTTTAAACAAAATGCAGCCTGAATCCAGTCACTGATTTAAGTGTGTTGGCTTGAATTTTATACTTTGGTCCAAAAGAATAAGTTCTCAAAAATGACAATAAATTTTATCAAGGTTTGTGGCAATGCCAAATAGAACCCGCCAGTTAGGCCCCTGTAATTTATGTGTGATATTTCAAAATGGCAGTGTGGTAACTTTCTTTGCACGATCTTGTTTCACAGAAGTGACTTTTCATTTGAAGCCATAAAATGGTATTAACAGGGACATCTTTAAACCACAGTGTAGGCTTTCTCTCCCAGCAGTGCCCGAACTGACGCTGGGAGACTGAAACTTAGGTCTTGGGAGTAGCCTAAGTTGGCCAGGCTTCCGTAATATTTTCCAGATTCTAATGCATCTCTAATACACAGAAGACATACACAGGAAAAGAAACAAAGGGAAAGTGGTGGGGAAAGTACATTAAAGAAAATGAAAAAAAAATAGGAAGAGAAAAAAGAAAATGGGAAGGAAAAGGAAAAAAGGAGAAGTTACACTATGGTAGTATTTCAGTCTGCCAACAGTCAAGCCATCCCAAGAGTGAATCAGCAAAACACTAACCTTGTTAATACTAAAAACTGCTCTCTAAAATCAGTAGAAATCTTTAGCTCAAAACTGAACAGGAATAGGCATGCAAAATGGATCAAACAATTAAGCATAGCTATTCCTTTCAATAAATAGAAATTAGTAGTATAATTATCCTATCTTTCTTTCTCTCTTTTTTTCTCCTTTCACCCATCCTAGCTGTTCTTTCTCTCTTTTGAGCAGATTCTTTCCCCTTTACAACATCTATTTTACCATTTGGATTTTATTTACTCTTCAGTTTCTCACACTAGGAAGACAATATGATGATGTTTCAACATGCAGGACTGATTTACTCACTTATTAGTATGGTCTCTAGTTGCATCCCTTGGCCTATAAAAGTCTCATGCTTATCTTTTCTTATGCATTTAGTACAGGTGATACAGCATTTAGTACAGGGTGTTCAGACTCTCACTACATAGATCAGACTTGCAGTGATTCTCCTGTTTTCAGCCTCTCAAGAACTGGGATTACAGGTGTGTGCCCTCATGCCCAGTCTCAATCGCTGTCTCAGCATGCCCCGGGGGTGGGGCCAGCATGGCATGCTGGGAATCTAACCTCGGCCACTGTGCTCTGACTAAGCTTTAGTCCACTGAGCTATCAGGCCGGCCCCTTTATCTTTTTTTATTGTTGAGTAATACTCCATTGTATAAAATATCATTTTTTATCTAATAATATGAACAACTACTTAGAAGATAACAATAGGCAACATAAAAATCATTGTTAATTTCTTATCATCTTGTTTTGAAATTCTGTATTTTTAAATTTTATTTATTTATTTATTTATTTATTTATTTTTGCGGTACTGGGGATTGAATTCAGGACCCTGTGCTTTCCAGGTAGGCACTTATTCTACTGAGCTATCTCCCCGGTCCCTTTTTATTCTCTTTAAAATAAAAAAAAAAAAAAAATGAAAAAAAAACTCAACAGAAGACATGACTTTTCATCCTTAAGAACAAAATTTTTGAAATTCTGGCTTATTTGTAGATGTTAGGATTTATGGCCTAAACTCAAACTATGACTGGTCCTTGGCAAACTGGAAGTGTAGTGAGATCGGCTGGTGTACATTTCTGGTCTTTAGGCTTTTTTATGTGCCCATCTTCTGATGTAAAGCATTTTAAAAATGATTACTGCTAGGAGTGTTGGCACATGCCTGTCATCCCAGCCCTTCGAGGGCTGAAGCAGGAGGATTTCCGCGAGTTTCAAGCTACACTGGAAGACACAGCGAGTTCAAGGCCAGCCTGAACTACATAGTGTGAGGGGAACGTGATAACCACTACACTACGGGAACAGCCTTGAACTACATAGTGAGACCTGCCTCCCCCCCACAAAAAAAGAAAGATTATTTAAAAATTCTTTTCTATTGGATGCTCTTCTTTGCCATTTTTATGCCTTTGGAGCATGTTACAAGTCTTTTTGCCAGTCCTTATGTCTCTGACTGAGTGCTTAAATAGATGCTGTCTCATTAAATGTGTCCCAAATCGATATAGAAAATTATATATACCAAATTGGTATAGAAAATATACTGATTGGAGAAATTTTTACTCAAGTCCTTTCTTTCTGAACTCTAAAACAGAAAAACAAGATTTAGGGGAAGGGGCATTTGTAGGATGCAAGATAAATGAAGTCATAGCTAATCTGCAGCCTAGTGAAAAGTACTGCATTATTTTAAAATCCTTTGGATTGCAGCATTAACAGGAAGAGCTCACACTGTATGTACAGATGTGTGAGGAAATTACGTGTAGCTAGGTCCCTGGAAGACATTAGGAAAGCAGTCTCTGCACCTGAGCCCTCGGTCCTCGACTAGAGGGGGCTGAGGCTCCCTGAGCTCCTCCCTGGGACAGAGCAGGAGGGAACGCTGTTGCCCATGAAGTGTTTACTCCAGAGCAGAACTGGGATCCAAGCAAGCCTCTGGAGCTCTCCACTCACGGGAAGCACAAAGCAGAGAAGTGACGCCGTAAGGGAGGAACCTGGGCTGGCTAGTGCTGGGCGTGAGATCAGCCTGGTTTCTGCAATCAGTAGTTGTATCAGAAAATATTACGGAGACTTAAGAATTCTTACAAGTAAATATGGTACACAGACACTGTAATTTTATTTTGAATTAAAAAAAATTTAAAATATTCAGGAAATGTGATTATAACTTAAATATGAAATAATATCAAGAAACCATTATTATTTTTGTAGTACTATTATGGTTGTACAATAAAATATGTTTAAAAGATGTGTATTATAGTTTTTAGTGACAAAATGACATAATCTCTGGGATGCACTATGACACCCTTAAGGAAAAAAAAAAAGAATTCAGTTGGATATATCCAAAATCATACAGTTTTAGATCTAGTAATTGGTATGTAAGACTTACTACATTTCTCTCTACTTATGAGATTGTTTGAAAACTTGCATCATTAAAAAATTTTAAAGACAGCCAAACTGAGTGGTGCGTGCCTGGCATCCTGGTACTTCAGACGCTGAAGCAGAAGGATCACCCCAAGTTGGAGGCCAGCCTGAGTACATAGTAAATTCAAGGCCAGCCTGAATTATACGGTGAGACTGTGTCTCAAAAAATAAATACATTGTAGCAGGACAGTCCTATGACATTTTTTTCTTGTCTCTTGTTTTCTTTTTTACCTTTTTATTAAAACAAATATTTACTTGTGAGAGAGTATAGCAGTAATTGATATGACATTAGAAGCAGTACGTATTTAGAAGACCAGAATGACAGGCATTCCAAGCATGACCCTAGTAATACACATTGCTATCCTTGGTGCAGTTGCTTAGTTCACAGGTATCAGCACATATAGTCAGTCAGGGTGAGAATCCTACCAATTAACTGCTAGTTTCAAAAACCTGTTGGAGATTCTCAGGATCATTGCCTTATCCATCGTGTGTATTTAAATGTATGGCTTTGCCCCTGCCATGTTTCCTAGCTTTTGTCCTTGCCCTCTCTTTGTTGTTTAATCCTTAAGTCCTCGCTTTCCATTTAGTTCTGCTATACCTTTCAATTCTCAAGTCAACAACTTTTTTTTTTTTTTTTTTTGCTCAAGACAACAACTTCTGAAATTGCCAGTTCTATGGATATCCCACTGCTATGATGGACTACTGGACTATATAGGATTATTCTGCTGAATTCACATACCTACAATATTTGAATAGCAATGGAATACCCATCTCTGACAAAACTAAACAAAAAAGGGAGATATAAATGAAGGACCATTTTGTAGTGAAAAAAAATCTGTGTAAACAAAATAGTTAGCATAGATATACAGCTACTTTCTCTTAGTTCAATGAGAAGAAAGATTTGTACTAATAGTGTTTAGACAAGATATCATGTCTGCGTCTTATACTATGAATAACTACTATGAAGACAACAATATGCAATATATTAATTATTGTAACTGTCCTACGAACCTGTTTTAAAATTATCTCATTGCTATTTCTTTCTCAATAAAATTAATTAAAAAATAAATACATTAAAGCAGCTGGAACAAAAGTGGCAAAAAGTCTGTTAGCCACGTAATTAGAGAAATGTGTTTCCAAATGCAAGTTTTGAAAATTATTTAGCTTGCATCTTTTTCAGCATCTGCATGAAACTGTGAAAGGGACATGCATGTGAGCCTCCTGGATCCTTTACCTGACAGTCTTTCAGTGCGTTCTGAACGGAAACCTGGTCTCCAATTTGATGTTGTTGCTTCAATTTCTCTTCCTGGGTTGCAAACCAAGTTTTCAGACACTGTACACTATTTTCATATTCTGACCAAGATTCCAATAAGCCTTCCAACAGCTGGATCTAAACAAACATAATGAATTGAAATTTGTAATTTTATATTAAAAGAAAATCAGTGGCAAGCAAACTGTTCTAGCCACTATTACCTCCCCAGTGAAGAATTGCTAAAATATAACCCATTGTATGTACAATTTAAGAAACTCATTTTATCAAGTGTGAATCAATGGTTATCATTGATAAACAAGAATAAAAACAAAGACAAGAGAAATTAAGAGGTATCTTTTAAAACTGAACAATAAACATGAAATACACAAAGAGAAAAACGACAGGACTAAAGAAAGTTCAGAGCCAAGCTTCAGGGGCAGTGCCGGGAGCGCGCTGGTGCCCCATACTACATGGGAAATGAGTCTTCCAGACAGAACCTGCCTGCTCCAGGTTTTCAGGTGAAAACAGGCAGTACTGGATACTGGCTCACCTTCTCAGTCACTAGACCTTGCAGGATCTGCCAGCTTTTATTCATGGCTCCAAGCTGCTCGGCAAAATCAGTCTTATCGCTTCGTTTGCTCTCCACGTCCTGACTGCTGATTTGTAACACAGACTGGTTCACAAAATCGACTGTTAGCTGTTTGCAGTTGATATCTATCTTAAATCCCTAAGGAAAGAAAGGGGGAAATAAGAAAACAAGATGGCATGCAGAAATAGTTTATTTTACCAGGAGTTGAAACACCTTAGATTACCTTAATATTACCATTATCCTTTTTATGGTTTTGTCCAAATGGCACAAGTTGTGTTTATTCCCCTGGCCTATCATTTTCAGAAGTCAAACATGGACATGTTTGCATTATATAAACATACATATGCATATATTTAGGCAGAAGATGCAAAGCTGGTGAAATTACATAATGTTTATATATTATTATAATTATTTTTTGCCTTACCCTTTTTTTTTTTTTTTTGCAGAACCAGGGATTGAACTATAATTATTTTTTCATCCCTACTATTTGTTGAATAACAAAATTATTGTCAACAGTGGACAAACTTTCTAAGGCTATACATAGCTAGAGATACAGTTCTCATGTTTCTGAATTCCTATCTGGTCATCAGTATGTGCCTGTTTCAAGTTTTCTGGTGAAAACAAGCCCTAGCTGGACACCTGGCTTACCTTCTCAGTTATGAGACCTTGCAGGATTTGCCAGTTTATATTCATTGTTCCAAGCTGCCCAGCAAAATCAGTCTTATCCCAAGACCTGAGTTCTAGAATTTGAGTTGTGGAGTTCTTTCAAATAAAATATCCTAACTGCATGAAAATTTTATTGATTGATTGATTGATTGATATTTTAAGGAAGGGTCTACAGGGTGTTCAGGGTCTCACTACTAGATTGGACTCCTAGTGATCCACCTGTTTACAGCCTCCCAAGAGCTGGGATTATAGGTGCGTGCCACAATGCTCAGTCTCAATTGCTGTCTCAGTGTACCCTGGAGGTGGGGCTGGCACTGCATGAAAAATTCAAAACAAAGTGTTAATTACCTTGTATTTCTGAAGGTATTTATGAATTGCTTTGCAACCTATAGTGTTCTTGATATCCTCTTCATCCTTCTGAATAACACTTTCCATTGAAGAAATCCAACTCATGACTTCAGAAATGGCATGGCGGGAAGACAGCTTATCCATCTGGAGCTGGGCAAGTCAGAGACAGCAGAAGTTCCAGTATTAAATCCAAACCCAATGTGTGATCACACAAGAACACCGCAGTAATTCCTACCGAAGTAGCAGCACAACTATCATTTCTTAATGGCATTTTATTTTTAGATCTTAGAAGCTTGAAACACCAGGCAGACACTGAACAATACCTGTCATTTCATGTTCACTTGATATCTAATCCTGTAAACATTGTGTAAATATTAACTAATGAGGCAAAACACCAGCAAGAAGAAAATACTCTTATTTTATAGTTTTATGTTTTTAAAAATCTAACTACAACACATTCAACAGATGTATTTTATTAATTAGCTTGTAAAAAATCTCTGTGTATTATGACTCAGGAATGTTAAAAGAAGAAAAACACCATACTACAAGCTATCATTTTCTAGATTTTTTTGCCATACTAATATTTATTCCTAAGGGCACAGTCAACTTCCTGAGGCACTAACTAAAATACACCAACCTCTGAATTTTACTTAATATATCACACATTTATGAACATATTTAACATAATAATTTGTAAGAAGAGGCAGTCATTTAAAATAATTATAGATCAACTTCTAATGTGGTACTCAAAGGCAGAGATGAACATAGGCAATTTGTCCCCCTCCTAGGAATATATAATGCTGACTAAGAGAGAGGTGGTGTGTACACTAAATGCAGTTGTCATGCATTTAGAGAGAGAAAATGATACTATGATCTGGGATTTGAGTGGAGTGAGGCATATTCCAGAGAAAAGGAGTACAATCACATACCAAATAATGACCTTCCAGTCACTAACATATATGATGATTGTCCCAGGTGATAATATTGTCTGGTGACATTGTAGACATCTTGGTTCATGTGAATATACTCTATGATGTTGACAAGATGGCCCAAGGATGTATTTTCTGGAATGGAACCCTGCTTTTTAAGAGATGCCTGATTATACCTACCTTTACTGAATTCTAGTTGTTCTCTTGTATGTGAAACACTAGACCTTTTACCATACCATATCATAAATCTTCAGGGCCACTTATTTTATATAACTGCTCATATTGTTCCATTGGAAAATAGTCTGATTTTTTATTTTTATTTTTTTTAGGGAAGGGTCTACAGGGTGTTCAGGGTCTCACTATTAGATCAGACTTGTAGTGATCTGCCTGTTTACAGCCTCCCAAGAGCTGGAATTGCAGGCACGCCAGCACGTCCAGTCTCAGTTGCCATCTCAGTGTGCCATGGGGGTGGGGCTGGCAAAGCAGGCCCAGTGATCGAACCCCCCACCCCTGTGCCTACTTGCAGGCACTTTAATCTGCTGAGCTATTTATCTGGCCCTGAAAAATAGTTTTAAACAAAGCCAAAGATCCCAATGCATACACACAAACACACCTACACATAATCAAGGAGCTTTTGGAAGTAGTGCTATCTGAATATAGCTCCATGAAATGTTTCCTTTTTACTGTATAATACATGGTTAGGAAGAGAAGACAGATGTCTAAGACAAAGCTGCTACCAATTTGTAAGCAAAAGTCGATTAATACAGTTTTGTTTATGTTTTATATAGCTTAAATCAGGTACTATCAACTAAACCCGTCCTTACTTCCATACCTGGTGGAGCTTTTCCTGGACAGCTGGAATATTTGTCAGGAGGTCCATCCACTGGCTATCAATGTGGGACAACTCGGAGCGCAGGGCAGCCGTGTCCACTTTCTTCAATCGAAGAAGCTGATTTCCAGTGCTCAGAACAGATGATTTCAGGGAGGACTTAGCATCCACTTCTTTAGAAAACTCCTAAAAGAAGTAGCACTATTCACATTAGGATTATGTAGTTAGACCTTTCATTTGAGAATAGAGATCAGTTTATTGCATAGGACAGCCTTCCTCAATATCTTCAAGGGAGCACTAAGTTGGGTTCTGCAGAGGTGAGTGAAATTATCACACAGTAGCACTCAGCTGAAGGTCAACTGTTACGTGGTAATTACTGGACAGAGCCAGTGTCGAGCATAAGCAGAGGTGACCCCTGGCAGTGTGCACAGGACACTCAGCACCCATCACTGTGGCTCCCTTTCTCTGGGTAGGGGTTAGGCCTTACGTTCTGCCTTGAAAACACAAAGTTGAATCAAATGCCTTTGATTATCAGACTCACCAGGAAAGCATTTAGATGATCACGGACCATTTCCAGTTCTTGTGGGACTGTCACAGATTGCTGAGTCCAGAATACTAGCCTATCTTTTGCAGACTGTAACCAGCGAATTAGATCTGCAGATTCGCTTTGATATCTGTAAGTATATTAATGAATCAATTGAGTATCCAATCCCTGTCTTCTGCTCAGTCATTTGATTCACCAATGACAAAAGTTTTACAAGAGCCTTGATAGATTTAGACGGAAACTGCACTAGGTTGGCACTCTGGAATCCTCTCTTAATATTAATACTTTGACCCAGTCTATCTCTCAGTTTCCGCTTTCCCATCTATAACCTTAAAGAAAACAAAAACAGATTATTTTCTCTTCCTTCACGCTGATTCTTGGAAATACTAGATAATGTTTATGAAAGTTCTTTGAAATGAGAGAGTACTTTATCATGCAAAAGCAACCATCTACTCCCTTCAAAAACTTCCCATGGTCCTTGAGATGTTTTCCTTAATCAACATTTACTCTGCTTTCTCTACTTCTAAAGTTTTACTGGGAGTACCTATGCATAGGCAAAGAAGGGTGACAGTTTAAATAAAGGTAAGTTTCAGTATGCAGCTGTCTTCCTGCTCAGCTTGACGATATGTTTACAAAAAATTGTCACTCTACAACTGTTCATCTATTTCTAAATTATGTAATAATGTGTGTATCTTTTCCAAGTCCAGCATCCAGTAGTCTCAATACACTGCCCTAATTATTAAAAGTATACAAAATAATCATCCTCTTACCTGGTCCAGTGTTTCAATATTGTTTCCAACCTGTGAAGTTCCTTAGACACTTTATTGGTATTATTTAGCCAACGCTCTCCGAATTGATTTAGCTGGCTTTCTAGATCTGAGCAGCTGACTGATAGCAGAAGTCGCTTTCCATCATCTAATACTTGGTATAATTTAGGCTGGTATTCATTGAGGCTGGATTTTAAGTGCTAAAATGATTGACAATATGGGTTAAAAGTTTGAATAGTGTATTCTTTGTCTTTGAGAACTGTAATTTTTCTGGCATCTACAATGTTCCTGTGATTATTATTCAAACATAAACTATTTACACCCAAACAACACTGAAGACTTCTTCAAAATAGTTCATAGTAATTTATCTCTGTCAGAGTACAGATGTTCTCCTTTTTGTTTTGTTGGTAGCATTTTTAGGTGTAATCAAAAAGGCTAAACTTAATTATTTTAAGAGTAGTTGCATGCTTATAATACCAGAACTCAGGAGACTGAGGCAGGAAGATCATTGCAAGCTCAAGACCAGCCTGGGCTACAAAGTGAGCTCAATGCCAGCCTAAACTGCATAGTGAGACCCTATCTCAAA